CTATGGCAGTGGGAGAAGGCTCCAATTACTGCCAGGAAATAAAGCTTAGCAAGAGAGCAGAGCCAGACAAGTAACAGGGAAGCTACAATAGATTTGTGAAGTCAGCCAAACACCATGGTGGCAGAACCTAACTGCTACAAAGAAGACAAGTTTTAGACAATATTCATGTGTATGGGCAAAAGACACAAGGACTGTATTTGTGACTAATTGTATAATAGGTTTTTTTGGTTTCTGTTCTGTATAAAGTTGAAGCATTCCAATAAAAAGTCTTAATACAGATTTTCTTTTTTTTCGCACCCATACTGTTGATTGCTAAATGTAATAGTCTGATCATGATGCTGAATAAATGTGTCTTAAAACCAATATAGGTGCACGTGGCTGGCTCAGTCAGTAGAGCACGTGACTCTTGACCTTGGGGTCATGAGTTCAAGCCCCGCACTGGGCATAGAGCTTACTAAACAAAACAAAACAGTATAAAAATAATATTGTAAGTTGCTTATGGAGAGAGAGACAGACAGAGACACAGACAGAGAGGAGGTAGGGCACTGAGGCACAAATACTAACCTTCCAATAGTGGCTATCTCTAGGGAGTGGAGCCAGGGATGTAACAGGGACTGATAGTCTGTTGGGACCTTGGTGATATCGGTAATCTTTTATTTCTTTTAAACATGACTGGAGGGGCGCCTGGGTGGCTCAGTCGTCCGGCGTCTGCCTTCGGCTCCGGTCATGATCCCAGGGTCCTGGGATCGAGCCCCGTATCGGGCTCCCTGCTCCGTGGGAAGCCTGCTTCTCCCTCTCCTGCTCCCACTGCTTGTGTTCCCTCTCTCACTGTGTGTCTCTCTGTCAAATAAATAAATAAAATCTTTAAAAAAAAAATGACTGGAAGCAATTTGAAAAATGCTAATCCTTGTTAATTCTGAATGGTGGAAATATGGGTGCTTTTGTTATTCTTTGCTCTTTTCTGCAACTTTTACATTCCTTAAAATAAAAAAAAAAAAGGTCTTTTCTCTCCCCACAGCACTTCTATCTGTATCCTAAAACTTGCCAGCCTGTCTCCTCTCAGTTCCTGACCCATGTGTCTGCCTCTCCTACCTGTCAACGACCTTCCAGAGGACTGGTTATTTTGTGTCCTACAGTGCTCAGGCAAGCCATGATACATTGATCTGTTCAATAAGCAGTGACTGAGCACGAGTGTACCAGGGGTGTGCAAGGGGCTGGGGATAGCAAACAAGACCTCGCTCTCCTGAAGCTCACAGGGGAGGGGCATCCTGGAGAGTCAGCAGGCAGCACAGAGGGTGGGAACGGTGGGAAGGGGCTGGGGGAAGCCCCCAGAGACCTGAGGAAGTAGAGGCAGTCCAACGAAGGGGTGGGGGAAAGAGTATCTCTGGCCAAGATGACAGCTTCCTGCAAAAGCTTTAAGGCAAGAGACAGCAAGGAGGATCTGAGAAACTAGAAGAAATTCAGGGTGGTGGAGTAGCAAAGGGAAATGAGGCTGGAGAGGAAGGCACAGGCTGAAACGCTGCATTTGGTAGCACAGCCTCATGGTCCGGAGGAGACTTGGGCTTTAAGCCTGTTTCCTCAGCTACAAAATGGGGATTAAAATGATCCACTCCAAGTTGCTGTGAGAATTCAAGGTCTTTTTTTTTTTAAGATTTTATTTATTTATTTGACAGAGAGAGACAGCGAGAGAGGGAACACAAGCAGGGGGGGTGGGAGAGGGAGAAGCAGGCTTCCCGCGGAGCAGGGAGCCCGACGCGGGGCTCGATCCCAGGACCCTGGGACCATGACCTGAGCCGAACGCAGACGCTTAACGACTGAGCCACCCAGGCGCCCCAGAATTCAAGGTCTTAAGAACAAAATTTGTGCCCTTGGGCAGGGCTCCATAAATGGTAGTTACTATCTTTTTTTTTTTTTTTTTAAGATTTTATTTATTTGACAGAGAGAGACACGCGAGAGAGGGAACACAAGCAGGGGGAGTGGCAGAGAGAGAGATGGAGAAGCAAGCTCCCCGCGGAGCAGGGAGCCCGATGCGGGGCTCGATCCCAGGACCCTGAGATCATGACCTGAGCCGAAGGCAGACACTTAACCGACTGAGCCACCCAGGCGCCCCAATGGTAGTTACTATCTTTACTTGGGGGTGAGGAGAAAGCAATGGAGAGATTTTTAAGAGGTGGTTCTGACAAGGGCGAAATTGTGTTTTCCAAAGCCTCCTTATGCAGGCAGCAGTAGGGGAAGGCAGCCAGACTCATCAACTGCTGCAATGCTTTGGGATATTTGCCTCTGTGTTTGCACTATTTCAAGGACAATTTCACCTTCTTCAAGAGTCTGAGATTAAAAATGCAAAAGAATGGAGCACCTGGTGGCTCAATAGGTTAAATGTCTGCCTTCAGCTCAGGTCGTGATCCCAGAGTCCTGGGATTGAGCCCCATGTCAGGCTCTCTGCTCAGTGGGGTCTGCTTCTCCCTCTCCCTCTCCCCCAGCTTGTGCACTCGCTCTCTCTCAAGTAAATACGTAAAATCTTTGGGAAAAAAAAGCAAAAGAAAAAGGAGAGAAAAATTGGGACACCTGTGTGGCTCAGTTGGTAGTGTCTGCCTTCGGCTCAGGTCATGATCCTGGAGTCCTGGGATGGAGTCCTGTATCGGGCTCCCCACTTCTCCCTCTACCTGCCGCTCCTGCTTGTGCTTGCTCTCTGACAAATAAAATCTTAAAAAAATAAAAAAGGAGAAACATTCTCAAGACAATTCCTCTGCATGGGAGTCTCTGTCTTCCAGCACCCTTCACTTATGTCCTTGAGCCAGGGATGCAGTCTCCAGGTTGGGCTGCACGTACCACCTCCCAGGTAGGTGACCCCACTGCCTTGCCACTTCTGTTATTGGTAACTCAACCGGCCCCTCCCCGCCTGTGAGCTCCAGCCAATCAGAAGGCGTGAGGCCAGCTGTGAGTGTGGCTGCAGCTGGAGCTGGGCAGAGCCAGGCATCAGAAGAGTCGACCAAGGGTGCCCAGGTGGCTCAGTCAGTTAAACGTCTGCCTTGGGCTCAGGTCATGGTCCCAGTGTCCTGGGATCAAGTTCCGCATCGGGCTCCTTGCCCATTGGGGAGCCTGCTTCTCCCTCTCCACCTGCCACTGCCCGTGCTTGTGCTCTGTCAAATAAAATCCTAAAAAAAAAGAAGAGTTGACCAGTTTTACCTTGTGTATCTGGGCAGCCGCAGGTCAGGTCCCTTGAAGAGTATTTGAAGGGAGAAGAAATGTGTATGGCCTTCACATATTCAGTCAGGGCGTTGAAGAGGATTTTACCGGGTCTGTGCAGCAACAAGTTCTGTGAAAGCAGCCCCACGACATGTTTATGCAGCTCCTACCGTGTATGTGAGGCACTGCGTTAGGTGCTTCAGGAGCCAGGAGAGCCCAGGGTGAGTAAAACAAAGTCCCTGACCTCAAGGAGCTTACATTACAGTGATGAATATGTACAAAGTAGTAGTAAATGCTGTAAAATAGAAAGTATCATAAAGGTGATGTAGAATGGGAGGGGATACAGCTTTAGGAAGGGTGATCTGGGAAGGCAAAGATTTGAGGGAACATGTAGAAACGTGGGAGAACATTCTGGGCCCTGGAAAGGGAGCATGCCTGGTCTGTTCAAGGAACTGTAAAAAGTCTGTAGGTAAGTTCTATCCAAATTGCTACTATCTCCTCCGTGAAAAGGGGGAAGACACTGGAAGTGTAAGATGATATGACTCACCTATGACCAGTTGCTTAAAAAATTAGGAATTTTCTAGAACACTTCTCGAGCAAAGTCCCAGAAGGAACTGCAGAGATGAGGTCTCCATCACTGCAAGAGGGCAGGACACCACAGAGGATTCTTAGCTTCTTTCTGGGACAAGTCGGTGTGGTGTTAGAGAGCCATGTTTTCAGTCATTCTTTCACTAGTTGCCATTGGTTAAAGAGAGAGCTGAGGATGGAGTACTTATCATAGCCTAACCTCATGTACAGCTAGGAGATGTGATAAAGGGCAAGACCTTTTTTACAGTAAATGAATGTACTTATACTCTCTCCCTTGTAGTCTCATTAGCAAGTCAAGCTCTTATTCCAAATAGGCTAATATTTGAAACATATTTTGACTTGACTTTATAACTCCTTTCTCCCCGCCTCTGCCAAATGAGAAATTAAGGTATGATTTAAAAATCATACCTAACATACTTGCTTAGCAACCCCACTTCACTTGGTATGACTCGGATCTGAATATGTCTTAGTGGTTTCCAAATACCAAATTCTGTCACAAGATAATTTGCGACCTTAAATAAATTTAAGATTTATTTTCTTCCTTTAGAGAGAAAGTGAGAGTGAGCTCAAGGAGGGAGGGAGGGGCAGAGGGAGAGGGAGAGAAGCAGACTACCTGCTGAGCATGGAGCCCGATGCAGGGTTCAATCCCACGACCCCATGATCATGATCTGAGCCAAAACCAAGAGTTGGATGCTCAACCAACTGTGCCACCCAGGTGTTCCCCCACTGAATAAAGTTTCAAAGGTTCACTGCAGGCTCAGAAGGTCACCCAAAGGTGGAGTCTTATACATGTTCTGAGCACAGGACAGTCCTCAGAAAATGGTGACACCTCATGACATTATAGGTAAAATTTTAACTTATTACCAAGCCATAAGAATAAAGTAACAGGGGTGCCTGATTGGCTTAGTTGGTAGAGCATGTGACTCTTGATCTTGGGGTTTGAATTTCAAGCCCCATGATGGGTGCAGAAATTAAAAAAAAATTTTTTTTTAAATATTTTATTTTGAGAGAGAAGGCGAAGAGAGAGGCAGAGGGAGAAAGAGAATCTCAAGCATACTCCACGCTGAGCACGGAGCCCCACATGGGGCTCGATCTCACAACCCTGAGATCATGACCTGAGCCAAAATCAAGAGCTGGACACTTAACCAACTGAGCCACCCAGGTGCCCCTCTGTTTTTTTTTTTTTTTTTTTTTTTTAAGGATAACAGCCTTGAGAGTTATCTGAAAGGTTTTCAAAAAAAAAAATTTATTTTCATAAATTAACACACATAACAGTGGGAATTTTAGAGTCACAAACTACCAAACAGAAAAGGAAATGCAGGGGCATCTTGTATGCCAATGTTACCAAAAATGTACAAATTTCACTGAACTATTGACCATGATAATATATAAACACTTCAGGCAGCTATTTACTGGCCCAGACCTGCCCAAGGAGATGCTGAGGTCTCTCGCCAAGAATTCAGATCCAATTCAGCACCAGGGAGGGGCTCATGAAGACACACAACGAACAAGCCATCAAATCTGAGTATATACCGTGCTAGATGGCGGGCTATGTGGGGACCCTCACTTTATAATCAAATTAGCGTTTGCTGCTCAATTTGTGGTTAGATAATATAAAACTTTGATTTTCATAAAACTAAGCCTTCCTCCGAAGCCAGCTGTTTACATTAATGAGTGCAGTTGTGGTAAGGAGCTCTTCCCTTGCATGAATCCAGGAAAGGCTACTCCATACCTCTGGCCAATTATTTAGACTTTGGATACAGCCACCCACAACGTGGTGTTTAAAAGGTCCTTTCCATGATACCAGGGGAAAAGCTTCCCGAAACAAACAAAAAAAACAAAACAAGGGAATTTAAGAAAGCACCAACTGCATACTCCTCCCTCAGGTGATGGGAGAAAAGTATCACTGACTAAAAGTTGGTCTTCCGTGGATCTTACCGTACATGGTATTATGAGATGGAATCCCAGCCTGGGGACGGAGCGCTGGCTGTGCGTTCCATTAGGCTGCACCAAAGCCTTGGCTCTGCTGCCCCGGTCCCGCATCCCCTACATGCTCTCGGTCTGGTGGGCAGGGAGTGAGCCCTGGGGGGAGGGATCATGCCCAGAGCGTAGGATCTGGAATTTACCTCAGGTTGGCTCTGGTGCCCACGCAAAAGACCCTTTCAGGCAAAACTGTGACAAAGTGTCATGATTTTCACAGCTCTTGAAGGAGCGCTGAGTTTTGGGATTCACAGCATGAGTTTCTAAGCTCTTCAGGCTCCAAGTAAGGCAAACGCTACATGTCTTTCCACTGTACCTCCCTCAGCTGTAGCTCTTAGAGTAAGGTCACTAAGAAAAAGTGGACATAATTTGCTTGAATAGGTGATGAGGTAAATTTAAACTAATGGAGAAATAAAGCTGGAAAGGTGACCAAAAGAGAAGGGGAAAGTGGGTGGGGAGCAGATGAGGGGCAAATATAGCTATAAATTGAAAGATGAAAAAACAACAACCCACATTTGAAGTTTCAGTGAAAAGCTGATGGGCAGAACCCTGATTGGACCTGAGATTTCTCCTCTCTTTCCCATATTAAAAACACTAAACCTCTGGAGTTGAGTTATAGCTGAGTAAATTATAGTTAATTGTAAGTTCCCACCACTTGGGGTGGGAAGTCCCCATACTCAGAAACTGTACCAGCCCCCAGCAGCAGACCTCCAGTAGCTCTGGGCAGGTGGGGTGCCAGCGGCCGACTAACACCTCCCATAGTGGGCAGCTTCCACAGGCTCCGAGGGCCACAGAGCGTTGCAGCTGGCCAGGCCAATGACGACAATGGATGCTAAGACAGGTGTGGCTGAGTGCGGCTAGAACTTGATGTATCAACTTCAGGCAAGCAATTTCAAGTTTGCAATGGGGGCCCCTTCTTAACTTGGGAGCAGGGGAAGGCCCCTTAGTCAGGGGGCGGGCCAAGAATTTCAAGGATAGTCAGGGCCGCCTCAGAGCTGCTTCTCTCCCACATGGCCAGGACAAGGAGAGAGCCCAGGCCTCCACCTCCTCCATGCCTCCAACATTCCACATCACTGCTCCTGGCTCTTCCAAGTGCCATGCCTATAAAGGGCGAACTTGAAATTGTGTCTCTGTAATGGTGGTGATGCCACAGCTGTGCCCACTCAACCTCAGTCTGCCGGATGACACGGCTGCCGCACTGCTGACTCATCTACACTGGCAACGGAGCTGGCAAACAGGGCTCTGTTGAGTTGCTGGGAGTTTGCATGCTGTCCAGCAACACTCCCTAAAAATCTCTGTTGGAGGGTGCAATGGATTACTAATCCCACTCCTTTAGGCAAAAAGACAGAGAGAAGCATTTAGTGTCTAAGGACCCTGTCCCAGGAAGGGAGAGGTACTGAGGTGAAACACAGGTCGTGTCTATACAGTCTGGGCAAAGCGGATGTAGAACGACGGAATCTAGTTCACATCATTCAGAGCCAGTGTGGAAGTGTGGCTCTCTTCTAATGCTATTTGGCCATGGCCTTAGAAGCCTCCTTGGGTCACCAGGTATGTATTTCACTTACTAAATGCTATGTCTGAGGCAGTGGGCCTAGAAGACAGATGTGGCACTTTTATTTTTTTTCTTGCTCATGTCAGTTCTTCTGCTCCAGTGCGGCACAGACTGTCAACCTGCAAAGGAAAGGCACATAGAGACCCCCCACCCCCGCCCCATCTCCCCACCCACTCACAAATGGGGAGACAAAGGAACCCTAGGAGACACACTCCAGGACGGCACCACTCGCTCTTCCCTAACAGACTGGCTTTGAAAATATCTCTGGAGTTCTGACAGTCTCCATGGGTGGATGCTTCCCAGCAGTGGCTCTTAGGAGAATGGGAAGAGGTGACCAGTGTCCTGAGGCTGGGTGTAGCATCTCACTTACCAGCCAAGGAATGTTAGTTCTCTGAACTTTTGTTTTGAGAGCAAGAGAGAAAGAAAGATAAAACACAAGGGAAGGAGGTCGGGGGAAGCAGGGCAAGGGCACACAGGAGTTAAATGGAAAAGGAATGACACCTCTGGGCCTGGTTGATCCACACAGCATCCTTCTGCCCACAGACTCCCGCGGGCCCGGATGAAGGAACTCCACTAACTCTGGCACTCCACAAAACTTCCAGGAAAATTTCCAATTTGACACAGGAGCTCCCCCAATAAGATGGTGTCCTCCGAGAGGGCTGGCGGTGGAATTTCATGATCCCACTGCAAGGATGCATCACTGGGCCTGAACCACGTCCTCACTCCCCACTTTTGGAGCAAGTTGCTCTGACAGCTGCGAACACTCTGGGCTGGACTTTATCACCGCCTGAGCTGTTGTACCCAACTTTGTTATATGCTACCACTTCAGATAAAACCCATTAAGACCACACCCAACGTTCCTATTTTTTAAATGGTTGGGAGGAAAACCTGCTCTTACTTCCATCATTAAAATAAACACATCAACTTAGTGAGCAAGAATGAGAACCCAGATGAAAAAGGACTCCCTCTAATGGTTACACTGAAGGTGGACATGGGGAAGGGGCTGCTTGAAACACATGATGGGAAAATGTCTCTCCATTGTCCCATACTATGCACTGATATACTGGGTCAAATGCCTGTCATATATTCTGAAGACGTGTATTGTCTTTCTCCTTGATGTCTTAAAAAAATTGTTTTAAAATCACATTTAAAGGCTCCAAACATGCAGCAATAATACAAAAAAAAAAAAAAAAAAAGGAAATAAAACAAATGAAAATAATCAACACCACAACATTAAAAAGTGCAACTTACTTCGAATGGGGCCTGGACGGGCTCCTCTGGCACTAGTGACCCACAGTCACAGAGGGGAGAAAATCATGGGAAGAAGCCACACACACACACACACACACACACACACACACACACACACACACAGTTCTGGGCAGACGGACTCAAAGGTTAGGAAACACAACAGCTCATCTTTCCTCAACTACCGAAATGAGCCGGTGAGACCACACAGGACAGGACGCCAGGTCCCCCTCCCTAGGCCACGTCTCTAAATAATCTTGGTCTAGCACCACCGTAAACAACGCAGAACTTTCACACAGACGTGCAAATGCTGTGAGTCCTTGGAATCCTAGTGTTACTGAACGTGTGCTGTGTCCTCCTCCTGAGGATGGCGAGTGAGGGGAGGAGGCCAGATGTCATTCAGGACCATTTCCAGGAGAAAGGGAGCATTCCTGAGGTTCAGTACTCAGCAGTAGAAGCAGAGGACCCTCCTTCACCATTTCCTAAAAAGGTTGCACCTCAAAATAGGTAAAAATCCATGGACTGCATTCTGAGTGGTTTGGGCGGTAGGGCAAAATTAGGCAACCTCTTCCAAGGAGCCTGGAAAATCTAAAATCGAGACCCCCAAACCGAATTGCTTCTCAACAACCAGATGGTCACTCCTGCTCCTCCTCTTCCTTGGCAAAAAAGGTCTCCAATTCCATTAGTTTCTTTATCAACAGAGCATCCAGCTCTCGACTCTGCAGAGCTGCCTTCTGGGCCCTGGTAAAGCTGCCTGCCACCTTGACCTTACCACGAGCTCTCCTCTTTCGTGGGACGGTAAAATCCTGAAATTCTAGAACTCGTTTTCTCTTCTGTTGGCTGATTGAGATTAGCGTACCATTTCGTTCCTTGGGTTCCTCAAAGATGGTCTCCAAACACCTGAGGGCAGAGCACAAAAAAGACTCAACACCACACCGACTCACATGGCACATCTCCTGGGCCACCAACCGTTCTGGTCAACTGGGGCTTAAATGACTAATGACTACTTACTCAGCTGTTTCCTCTGGCCAGTATCTATCTTTTTTTGTATGAAAAAAAAAAATTTTATGGATATGTAATATGGGAACACAGAGTAAAAAAACTGCAACTGGACAAAAGGGTAAAGAATACAAGGCCAGCCCCTGTTGGCAACAGCAGCATATTTTTTGTGTATCCTTCCAAAAGTCATTCAATGCACAGACATGCATAAATAAGCATATATTATCAGAGATAGCCCTTTTGCATAAAGTACCAGAGAGTAAACATTTTAAAATTAATGAGCCACAGAGGACTCTATTACATATTCTTTTTTGTTTTTAAACAACCCTTTAAAAATGTAGAAACCATTCTTTGCTGACAGACTGTAACAAAAAAAGAAGGAAAGAAAAGAAAGGAAACAGGCCACTGGCTGAATTTGGCCTGTAGTCTGCTGACCCATGACATATATCCTCCACTTTGGTTTTTTCCTCTTACTCAAATGGTAGCAAATTACATACACTGTCCTATGCACTGTGCCTCTCTGACCTGTCAGTACTTATTTTTTTAAAACATTTTATTTATTTATTTGACGGAGAGAGAGAGAGCACAAGCAGGGGGAGCAGGAGAGGGAGAAGCAGGTTCCCCGTTGAGCAGGGACCCGGATGCGAGGCTTGATCCCAAAACCCTGGGATCATGACCTGAGCCGAAGGCAGACGCTTAACCAACTGAGCCACCCAGGCGCCCCCTGTCAATAACTTTTAAGATTATTCTAATTTGGTACATGGGTATCTGATTCATTCTTTTTTTTTCTTTTTAAAGATTTTTACTTATTTATTTGACAGAGAGAGACACAGCGAGAGAGGGAACACAAGCAGGGGGAGTGGGAGAGGGAGAAGCAGGCTTCCCGCTGAGCAGGGAGCCCGATATGGGGCTCGATCCCAGCACCCTGGGATCATGACCTGAGCTGAAGGCAGATGCTTTACGACTGAGCCACCCAGGTGCCCCTCATTCTTTTTTTTCTAAAGATTTTATTTAATTATTTGAGAGAGAGAGAGGGATTGAGAGAACGAGTGGGAGGAGGGGCAGAGGGAGAAGCGGACTCCCTGTGAAGCAGGGAGCCCGACTCAGGACTCAATCCCAGGACTCTGGGATCATGACTCGAGCCAAAGGCAGATGCTTAACCAACTGAGCCACCCAGGTGTCCCATTCTCTCTCTCTCTTTTTTTTAATTTTTAAAGATTTTTATTTATTTATTTGAGACTGAGAGTGTGAGAGAGCACGAGTGGGGGGTAGGGGCAGAGGGTGAAGGAGAAGCAGACTCCCCACAGAACAGGGAGCCCAACACGGGACTCAATCCCAGGACCCTGGGATCATGACCTGAGCTGAAGGCAGACGCTTAACCGACTGAGCCACCCAGGCACTCCTGATTCATTCTTTTCAATGGCTATATAGTACATTCCATTATAAGGCTGGATTATAATTTAATCAGAACTCAATTAGTGGATATTTTCAGTTGTTTCCAATCCTTTCCTATTATTTAGCAATGCTGCAATGAATAATCTTGTACAAATGACTTAGAGCAAATGTTCACCTTACAGGATAAAATCCTGGAACTCTCCTGCTACAACCTGGACACAACAGGAATTTAATAAATGTTCCCTGACTTAAACTGAATTCAGACTTGAAGGTAGCCAATGAAATTCGTTCTGTATTTGGGTTTGTAATCCTATCTGAAGACTGATGATTATTAGTCCTGAAGAAGAGAGCTGGCCTATTTGTTAAAAACACAAGTACAGTAAGACGTTTTCTGTACCTACCTCATTCAACACATGTTCCTGTCCCATCCTACCACCAACCCCAGTTCAAAAGCTGGGAAGTAAAAATATCAATTCATGTTATTTCCAATAACTGAACATAAAACCCTTTCTGAAGTGAAAGGATTGGAGATTTACATCGATCATTTCAGAAGCCCTCCCAGTCTATTAAGTCCTACTCATGTACCCACCTATTTGCAGGAGGAGACTTATAATTCTTATTGGTATAGATTTCTTCTAAACTAAACTCCTTTTTTTTCAACCTGAAAAGAGAACAAAATAAGTTTTGTTGTTTTTTTTTTTTTAAAGATTTTATTTATTTATTTGACAGAGAGAGACACAGTGAGAGAGGGAACACAAGGAGGGGGAGCAGGAGAGGGAGAAGCAGGCTTCCTGCCGAGCAGGGAGCCCAGTGCAGGGCTCGATCCCAGGACCCTGGGATCATGACCTGAGCCGAAGGCAGACGCCTAACGACTGAGCCACCCAGGCGCCCCCAAAATAAGTTCTTCATGCTGTTCTCTCTTAAAGATTTTATTTATTTATGAGAGGAGAGTGCGAGATCATGAGCAGGGGGAGGGGGAGGAACAGAACCCCATTGAGCAGGGAGCCTGATGCAGGACCCTGGGATCATGACCTGAGCTGAAGGCAGACTCTCAACCAACTGAGCCACCCAGACACCCCTCTCCACGCTCTCTTGAGAGAAAAGACTGCCTTCCCAACTCGATGGGCTTCTTTTCTTTCAGCCCTTCTGCAATGAGTTTTAGATGTGTCTCATGTGCACAACACATATTTCTAGGCTGCCAATTTTCAGCTTTATGAAATTTTGTCTATACTTGCTGGCAATGATATAACTGTATTTATATCTATTATCATATTTTACAGCTTCTTTTAATCCTACCTTTCCAATGTTTTTCTTCTCCTTGACTGACTCCTTACTTTCTATCCCCCCTTTCTGGCTTAGAAATTATACATTCCCCTTTTATTGGCTGGCAAGCATTTTAATAAGTATATTTAACTTGGAAACTGAAGTGCATCAATATTTTTACCCTTCTCCCAAACACAGGTCCCTGGAATTTTTAATCCCAATCAAACCCATCTCAATTTATATGTTACTCATGTTCTATTTTGTCTCCTTTTTTTAAATTTTGTAATTTATTTGGTGAAGAAACCAGGTCATTTGACCTGTGGCTTCCACAGTCTAGATTTTGATTACACCCACATAGTATCATTTAACCTATTCCTCTGACCCAAACATATGGGAAATACTACAGGTATTTCCTACAGATTGACAATTGAGATACAGAGGCATAACGAGATTTAGGTGTTTTGGTTTTTTTTTTTTTAAGAATTTTATTATTTATTTGATAGAGAAAGAGAAAGAAAGCATGAGATAGGGGAGGGTCAGAGGGAGCAGACTCCCCACCAAGCAGGGAGCCCGATGCGGGACTCGATCCCGGGACTCCAGGATCATGACCTAAGCTGAAGGCAGTCGCTTAACCAACTGAGCCACCCAGATGCCCCCAGATTTAGGTGTTTTGATAGGAAGATTTTTAGATGGTGGTGTACCTTGTGGTACCTGTTGTTGACTTTTTGGTAATATTAATAGCCACTGAAAAATGTTGATTACATTTACTACTTCTTTAGGGTCATACACGGTAATAGTCTATCACTCCTCCAATCATTAGATAGAATTCTTCTTCTTTTTCTTTCTTTCTTTATTTAATTGAGAGAGAGAGAGAGACAGCAAGAAAGGGAACATAAGCAGGGGGAGTGGGAGAGGGAGAAGCAGGCTTCCCGCTGAGCAGGGAGCCTGATGCGGGGCTTGATTCCACGACCCTGGGATCATGACCTGAGCCGAAGGCAGTCGCTTAACCAACTGAGCCAGCCAGGTGCCCCCCAAATTTTATTTTTTTATTTTTATTTTTTTAGATTTTTTAAAAATTTATTTATTTGACAGAGAGAGAGACAGCGAGAGAGGGAACACAAGCAGGGAGAGTGGGAGAGGGAGAAGGAGGCTTCCTGCTGAGCAGGGAGCCTGACCTGGGGACTCGATCCCAGGACCCCAGGATCATGACCTGAACTGAAGGAAGATGCTTAACGAATGAGCCACCTAGGCGCCCCGCCAAATTTTATTTTTAAGTGATCTTTACACCCAACATGTGGCTTGAACTTACAACCCTGAGAACAAAAGTCACATACTCTACTGACAGCCAGCCAGGTGCCCCCGTGCCCCTCCCCCCGCAAGTTTATTACTCTTAAAATGGCTACTCAGTTGCCCCAACAGCACTTTAGTCTTTCTTTTTACCATTGATTTGAGGGGACACCTTTGTCACATTCTAAATTTCCCTATGTATTTGTGTCTATTCCTGGACTTCCTACTTTAATTTACCAATCTGTATGCTTATGCTCTGGCACTACACTGTTCTTATTTATTAAGACTTTACAATATAGTGTAATATCTCTTGGGATTAGTACCTCTCTTATTTCATTCCTTTTCTGAATTTTCCTGGCTATTCTTGCTTCTTTATTTTTCCATATGATTGCATTAAATACAACTTTTCCATTTATTCAAATCCCTCCTTATAAGGAACAGCTCTTGGTCAAGTGAATTCTATTCAAATTTGTAGGGTATGCTGTCATGTACCAGTTATCAAATTATTGCTTTTTAGTTCAAAATGTACCCTTCAGTACCTACTCTTGTGAAAATGGAATCTTGGACTCTTAAGCATTTCTTCTTTATAGTTAAGTACGATGCTAAAAGCTTTGGCAAAAGTGGGCACTGGGGAACACTGTAGGAGGAAAAGAGTTTCTCTTCCTGGTTCTGGTAAACTTTTTTCCCTGTCATTGTGCATGTTTGTTGGGATGTCAAGGAGGGGGCATTTGGAGAGGGCTCAGCCCTAGTTGTGTGGACAGAGCATGCAGTCCCTTCAGTGCTCTGGCAACCCTAGCCTGGTGATCATGCCATATGCTTCCTGACACATATGTGACCTCCAGGCTATAAGTCTACACCCCAACTTCTTGAGGGCTGTTTCCTGTGGCCCTCCTGAAAGAAATACAACATGCTCCATGCCTTACATCCACAGTAGCACCCGCACTCTCCTTGCATGCCTGCCTGCCTCAGCTTGTCCGCACCCTGCAAAGTTGCTATTTCCTGAGTGCCTAGTTCTGGCCTTAGCAACCCAGAGCAAGCTAATGGGTTGCAACCATACCCTTTCCAACAAAGTCTAAATGCCAACCTAGGGAGGTGGCCCCTCTTCCAAGTTTGTCCTTCCTTGAGTACGTGCTCTCAGTCTTAGGGTCCCTCAGAATTCTCTGTACATCTTGTGCTTACTCTCCTATTATAGTTTAACATTTTATATTAAAGTTCCCCTATTTAAAATACTGTATAGTTTGTCTGACTGGACCGACAGACACGTGAACCCCCAAGAGCTAGCTAAATAAGGTTGCTACTAAATACCAGTGGTATTCACACTAGTATACCAGAAGACATGCCACAGAGTACATGAATACCCAGTTTTAGTGGAATCAACCTCCTAATCTTTAATTTCCTAGAACTTCTGGTCATATGTTTGAGAAGTGTCCTTGAATGATCATGCAGAGTTCTCCATTCCCACAAATTCTTTCAGAATAGCACCTATCCATCCTGAATGCTATTTCAGTATATGAATCAAATCCCTGATCTTGCTAAGTCCCCTTCAGTAATTAATGAAAGCGCAGTAAACTTGTATGGGACTGGTCTTTCCCCATTACATATAGTTGATTAAGAGAGAAGTGGCTTTAGAAATAGGGTACTTTGGCTGGTGTCAGAATATTCAGATTTCAGATATGCTGCAGAATGGGTTTGTCAGAGTGACCCTGCCTCATTTATCTCCTGATTATCATCAAACAATGCCTCCTTCAGAAGGAGGCCCTACTTAGGAAAAAGAGCTTCAAATACCAACATAGCTTGTTCATGTATTTAACTGTACCCAATGTTTCTTCCAAAACTATTCTCAATTCTCATTGACAGTCTGTTATCACTTCGAAAGAAAAGTTCCACTCAACAGTCAATTTTTCTTTTTTTAAAAGAATATAACCGAAATGTTTACTAGGACTATCAAACATTTGAAGATGAAGTATGTAAAACCCACAGACAAAAATTTTAAGTAATTTCCTTCAGTAAAGGAATAAACTTTTAAAAAAATCACATAAGGAAATATTTAATTCAATTATTTAATCTTCATTTTATTTTAGCTTATAAAATGTTATAACTTCTACCCCTGTTAACAGCAGCAAATATTACAGGATACTGCCATGCAAGTTGGTTTCATAATATATTTTTCTCCTACATTAAATATTGAAGCAATCCTAAGATTTACATAAATTAATAGGTTTATTTCTGATTTTTTACATGACTCTTAATTGTTCCTAAAAGTCCAATAACGTTGTTTGATTCATATATGCATACACATTTACTGAAGCAATATTATGCTTTCTACCATACTTCTCACTTCATAATTTATTATTCTAACTACACATTACATTGGTTTATTACAAATCCAGTAATGAGAAACAGCATTACCATGTTGTTTTAATAATGTGCTATTAAAATAAATTTTTATTTATATTTGTTACATGATTTTAATTTTGACTTATGGCTTTTACAAATTTACCTTATAAGATGTGTTCCATAATTTATTTCTCAACGGTTTGTATGATTTTCATAAGTGCGAATTAACACATTTACTTGAGTTGGAAAACAAAAGTTAGGAAGTAAGAATGATTTGGCTGATGGGCTTGAATGATAAAAGCTGCCTTTGCCAATTAAGTTATATGTCAAGGGGTGGGGGAATGTACAAAATGGGTGAAGGGGAGTGAGAGATTAGGGCTTTCCGTTATGGAATGAGTAGGTACAGCATAGGGAATATAGTCAACGGTATTATAAAAGCATTGTATGGTGACAAATGGTAGTTACACCTGTCGTGAGCACAGCATAATGTATAGTCTTGTTGAATCACAATATTGTACATGTGAAACTAATGTAACATTGTGTCAAGTATATTAAAAAAAAAAGTTGTATGTCAAAGCTTTTCCATAAATTTAATGCACTAAATCAACAACTTCAAGGTTTTTTGACAAAAGAGGATGTGAATAAAAGCATTTTATTATTAGGTATCTTAGGCTAAAGTTTGTTAAAAATCTTATTTTTTCAACCTCTTTCACTATATTGATTTAAATAAAGTATCTTTAAGTGAAAGACCAGCATACAAATTATTGGGCATCTGACACTTACTGGTCAGATCTTTTTGGTGTGTTGCTCATACAATGAGATACTCACTGCTTCGATGCCTGGTAACAGAACCTATGTGAGTCAGCATTTTTCAATCCTTTGCTTTCAAAAAAAATTAGGCAGTAAATCATTAAATATAATTTGATGATAGATCACTGTGATTTTTTGGCATATTACTTGAAAGAAGTTCAAAGGACTGAATGTCATTACAATATTAAAACTCTCTCCACTCCCAACTACGTATTTATAATAAAAAGGTTTTTTTAGAACTTATATCTACATATAAATGCAAGACAGAATACATTTGATTCTGAATCCTATTTCTTTTTTTTTTTTTTTTTTTAATATTTATTTATTTGACACAGAGTAAACACAAGCAGGGGGAGCGGCAGGCAGAGGGAGAAGCAGACTCCCCGCTGAGCAGGGAGCCCGATATGGGACTCGATCCAGGGACTCCAGGATCATGACCTGAGCTGAAGGCAGACGCTTAACCGACGGAGCCACCCAGGCGCCCCTGAATCCTATTTCATTCTAAGAATAAGTACTATTCAACCTAGGAAATTTCTCTTATAAAGACATATGGTAGGATGATCAATAAAAGAACTGTAATATAAAATATATTAAGACAAAAACCATGTGGGAAAAGTAGAACGTCAATTATGATCACAGTAATAATTATTGCATTTGTGTTGTGTGAAGCAATATAATAGGTACAGTACACATTTTTTTCCTCAAGTGGACTGTACAGCAGTCTTAAGTGTTGGGAATTCTTACTACACTTTACAGACACATTCCTGAAGCTCAGGAGGGTCCAATAACTTACCCTGGGGTTACTTAAGGGACTACTGTTAGGCTTCTATTTGCCAATGAGAAATGAAGGAGTGAAATCCACCACAAGTAAATGTAAATCTGGAGATCTTTTTTTTTTTTTAATTGTATCTATTTTTTTTTAAAGATTTTATTTATTTATTTATTTATTTATTTATTTATTTATTTATTTATTTTTAAGATTTTATTTATTTATTTGAGACAGAGAGAATGAGAGAGAGAGAGCACATGAGAGGGGGGAGGATCAGAGGGAGAAGCAGGCTCCCTGCCGAGCAGGGAGCCCGATGCGGGACTCGATCCAGGGACTCCAGGATCATGACCTGAGCCGAAGGCAGTCGCTTAACCAACTGAGCCACCCAGGCGCCCTATTTATTTATTTAAAGATTTTTTATTTATTTATCTGAGAGAGAGAATGGGAGACAAGAGAGCATGAGAGGGGGAGGATCAGAGGGAGAAGCAGACTCCCCGCCGAGCAGGGAGCCCGATGCGGGACTCGATCCCGGGGCTCCAGGATCATGACCTGAGCCGAAGGCAGTCGCTTAACCAACTGAGCCACCCAGGCGCCCTATTTATTTATTTAAAGATTTTTTATTTATTTATCTGAGAGAGAGAATGGGAGACAAGAGAGCATGAGAGGGGGAGGATCAGAGGGAGAAGCAGACTCCCCGCCGAGCAGGGAGCCCGATGCGGGACTCGATCCCGGGGCTCCAGGATCATGACCTGAGCCGAAGGCAGTCGCTTAACCAACTGAGCCACCCAGGCGCCCCAGATTTTATTTATTTATTTGACAGAGAGAGACACAGTGAGAGAGGGAACACAAGCATGGGGAGTGGGAGAGGGAGAAGCAGACCTCCTGCAGAGCAGGGAGCCCGATGAGGGGCTCGATCCCAGGACCCTGGGATCATGACCTGAGCCGAAGGCAGATGCCTAACGACTGAGCCACCCAGGCGCCCCGAACTCTGGAGATCTTTTATAAAATGTTTGTATTTTCATAGTGTGTCTGGGTAATGTATAGTACATCAAATACATAATTTGGTAATCCTTTTTTTCTTTCCACTTCCCTTTTTAGGGTTAGCAATTATGTCTGTCATAAAAAATAAACCTTTAGAAACCAAGTTTTTAAAGGCCATGAGATAGACCATAGCATGCATCTGGTATTTTCTTAAAAAAAAAGAGAAAAAAAATTAAACTTCTTTCCCTCATGACATTAGGCCCCTTGTCAATTTTGCACCAGAATGTTGTGGCTTGGGCTGTGGGTTTGGGTAAAAACTGGGTGAGAGAGAAACCACCTGAGCCATGCGACTGACACCATGGCCTAACACAGGTGTCTTAACCACTGAGCTTTGGCATCCTCACCTAAACCTGGGGGTGACAATGGTGCTGACCTCCCAGCACCACTAGGGGACGAACAGACTATGTACACAAAGGGACAGCATAATATCTGGCATAGTGAGCTTGATAAAAATGATTAAGAATGCAGAACAATATCCCTGGCACATAAATCTCTGGTCATATTATCAATTAATTCTTTTGGATAAATTCCTAGAAGTATAATAAATAGCTCAGAGTATATGACCACTTAAAAGGTCATTATATTCTATCAAACAATTTTCCAAAAAATGTGAACCTATGTGTATTAGAGAAGGAGCTCACCTTTTGGGTCGAGGAAGGCCCATGGGGGTAAGATTAGGGTCTGGCTTAGGAATGGTTTTCCGGATACGAATCTGTGAGACTTTCTTTGGCCTCTTCTCTGGCTCAGCCTATTTTTAAAGATTAAGAAGAAAGATGGTCAAGTTAGAAGACATTTTAAATACATAAAGTCCTTTTTCTTGACACTCTAAGATTTTGCTTCCTCAGTTTACAGTTGACTCTAACTCATAGTTTATGACAAAGCTCTACTTACTCCTGCTGACAGTGTTCTCAGCAACCACTCCCTTTATATTGTTAGAAGAGAATCTACACATTCAGCTCAGATATTGAGATAAGCAATATGAAAGCCTGTTAACTGTTGGGAGACAGAGAGAGACTGCAAAATGAAGAATACCATTGTTCACTCATCTTTGAATGCAAGCAGCTCTTTGGTCCAACTCTCTAAATACTGTTAAATGCTACTGTCAAGAAAAAAGTTTCTGGAAAACAATGCAGACTAAGAGATCCAGAGTAGCCTTCAGTGGCCAAGCAGAAAAACTCCTGCCCTGGTAATTTCCAGCAATCAGCTGAAGGTAACAGTGATAAGCAAAGACACGCAGGGGCCTGTGTGTACCCATCATGTGATCTTTGGTCCTCGATGGACACTTCCAGTATTGCCCTCGACTCTATCAGCACTTTACCTCTTTCTGTTCTGGAGGGCTGCTCTGTGGATGGGGGCATGCCGCTGCCACAGTATCCAGCTCATCAAATTCAGGAACTTGGAACTCGGAGGCTGAAAGCAAGAGCTTGCTGACAGCTGAGTCTGTTACCAAGCAAGACTTTGGTACCAAGGCAGGGAATGGAGGCTCTAGTCTAGCACCATGAAAAGAAAAACAGAGAAGGAAAATATGAGACGGGTTTCACTTTCTCCCTTGGCACATTCAACTTCCTAACAACATACTAAGGTTGAAGATCTTCCCTTTTTCCAGCAATGACGTTTCCAGCCAACCTGTTCTCTAGTTATTTCTGGACACAGCCTGTGTCTATATATTTAAAAAATTAAAAGGATGTGGTCCATCCATTTCATTGGTGTAGAGAAGTTTTATAAGGAAAAATGTAAAAAGGAAGAGACTTTTTGGAGGAAAAAGGCATTTAGTGAACTGAACAAATGAACTGTGCTCAATGAGATCGATCCCATCAAGGCAATGAAGCTGGCTCTATGACCAAGAGATAGCTTGAGAGGGAACTTGTGGTACAAAGAGCTGGCTAGTGATTTTGACTCTTTTTCAATAAATGGTACTGATTACACATCCTTAGTCACTACTTATGATAAAACGCATCTAAATCTCGGATCAGGTTTGGAAGGAAAACAGACGTCAGAATCATGCTATGCTCAACCCACACCATCCGCTAGCGCGCCCTCTCAGGTTCTGTGTTCACTTGCACATTCACTCTTCCTCTCTGTCTGTCTCTCTCTCTCACACACTCACACACTCACACACACTGCAAGCCGCAAGCCCTTATGTAGCAGGCGCTGCTGGAGGCTTACCTCATCTGACTGCCACTGGTATTATAAGTAGCTTCCATGCCTGGAAGAGGCACATACGGTAACATGGTGTGGCTGAAGTGAAGCAAAAGTACAAAAGCAACAGGTTAGGGCAGTGGAACAACAGGGAAGTTTTGATGCCACTGATGGCACATGATATTCAATGGGGCCCTAGGAAGACAAGAAATGTCAGTCACTCAGAAAGAAGAAAAAGCCCTCCAGTCCTGAGCATTACATTTATGTGCCCACCACTGGAGTGGAGGCAGGCTGACGGAAGATTCTTTTCTAACTTATATGGAAAGAAGGTAGAGAGAGGAATAAAGAGAGGACAGTAAGAGAAAGGAGGGGAACAAGAATGGCTTTGAGTCTTACAGCTTCTTTTGTTGAATATATATCTTAAAGATTTCAAAATATAATTCACAGATAAAAAAAATCTTGTATTATTTTTTTTTAAGATTTTATTTATTTATTTGACAGAGAGACACAGTGCGAGAGAGGGAACACAAGCAGGGGGAGTGGGAGAGCGAGAAGCAGGCTTCCCGCCGAGCAGGGAGCCCGATGCGGGGCTCGATCCCAGGATCCCGGGATCATGACCTGAGCTGAAGGCAGACGCTAAATGACTGAGCCACCCAGGTGCCCCACAAATCTTGTATTATTCATCTCTTTATTAATGCCATTAAAATAAAGCCTAATTTCTATATCCTTAAAGAAGATTATGAAGAAACCTTATTTTCTTTAAAGCCAAGTTGCACATAAAACATGGTTATGTAGAAGAAAACCATTAATAGAGTTAACTCCTTTGTAATTAAGCTTTTATTTGTATAGATGAAGCAATGGTATTCATCACTTATAGATACATCAATAAATGAAGGTGGAGAGCTTTTTAATGCCTCTCAAAGTAAAACCTGTATCAGTTTCTACCAAATTTGGAACACAGTACAGGTTTAATCAATGAGCGGTTTGTATGATGACCATAAAAACAATCCACCTCCTCTTAGAAGTAGTAGATTTGCTCAATGTCTAGAAAACAAAGACAATTCAGATTTTTAGAAGGTTTAGCACTAACTACTTCAGGATTCCCTGACTGGTACTGATAAAAGGAAAGAGGCAGGGTGTACACTGGAGAAGGAGCTGACCAAATCAGAAATCAGAAGACCCTGCATCTAGGTCTAGCTCAGCTGAAACACTAACCTGATCTGGGTTAGAAAAAACCATGTGCCTCAAGCTCATCATCTATAAAAACAGCAAAAAAGAAGCCCATTCAACTTTCATTAGAGAGTGCTGAAGGTTCAAATAAGAAAATCCTTTGGGGGTGCCTGGCTGCCTCAGTCAGACGAGCAGGCAGCTCTTGATCTTAGGGTCATGAGTTCAAGCCCCACATTGGGTGTAGATTAAATAAATAAAACTTAAAAAAAAAATCCTATGGGGCGCCTGGGTGGCTCAGTTGGTTGAGCGTCTGACTTTGGCTCGGGTCATGATCCCGGGGTCCTGGGATCGAGCCCCACATCAGGCTCCATGCTCAGCGGAGAGCCTGCTACTCTCTCTCCCTCTGCTGCTCCCCTTGCTTGTGCACTTCCTCTCTTTCTCTCTCTGTTAAAAAAAAAAAAAAAAAAATCCAACAGAAACATAATTTAATATTTGTTAAGTCCTGCTTTATTGGGTTACTCAATTTATCATGCTTAATATTTCTAAGTGTGTTTAGAAAAACAGCAAACTTCCAAACTTAAAGTCAAGGCATATGATAACGCACTTCTAGAGCCAAGAAGAAGGAAAAGTCCCTAGAAACACCCCCCACCCCAACATTCCACTTGAATTAAATTAAAATAAAAAGAATAAAATAAAATGCTAGACATAGGAAGGAAGGCAGAGAAAAAATATTCCATGCCAGGAAACAGAAAAGTCAGGAGGGAAAAGCGTTCTGGATAAAGAAAAAGGGCCAAAGGCCGCACGTCTTCACAGGGTGCAACAAAGAACTGGCCTATATTTGAACCTCAGGCATGAACACAGCATAGAGAAGGTAAGACAATTTAAAGCTGCATGTCAGACACTGAGCAGAGCGTGGTTATGCGGTTCTAGAGGTATACTGACAAACCAGACAAAGTAAAAGCAGTATACTATGATTTAAAGCAATGTGTGTCGGGGGCGCCTAGGTGGCTCAGTCAGTTAAGCATCTGCCTTCGGCTCTGGTCATGATCTCAGGGAGGGTCCTGGGATCGAGCCCCACGTCGGGCTCCCTGCTCAGTGGAGCATCTGCTTCTTCCTCTCCCTCTGCACACTTCCTGCTGTGCTCTCTCTCGCTATCTTTCTCTTAAACAAGTAAATAAAATCTTTGAAAAAAATAAAACAATTTGATTCATTCCAATGTATTTTTTGTGACTACACTGTAAGAACATTTTTCTATTAACTACAGGACAAGTACTTCGAAGATCATTCATCTCTCAATTTCCATCAGCCACATTCAGGTTCTGCGGTGTCTTTCTGAAACCCTTTGATTTAGTTAGTTTTCTGCTAAGACGGTCAGGGAACTTTGTAATATGCACCAGACAGTGTTTTAGTGACACAGAATGATTCTGCATAAGAGACTGCACAGACACATGAAGAACAAGGCCTCTCCCTAATTTTATGGCTTTGCTGGTGTTGAATTTTTAAACTATAGCAACGATGAGGGCCAATTTAAAAAAATTTCAGTTTCTGTTTATTTGAGGGATTACAAATAGGAGGATTTATTATGTCTGAGACAGATCCTTAGGATATAATTCTCTAATTCTTTCTCCTCTTATTTCCAATAAGGAGGTAAAATGAGGGGCACCTGGGTGGCTCAGTTAAGCATCCAACTCTCAATTTCAGCTCAGGTCATGACCTCAGGGTTGTGGGATTGAGCCCTGTGTAGGGCACTGCACTCAGCAGGGAGTCTGCTGAGATTTTTCTCTATCACCCTCTTGCCCCCCCCCACTCTAACATAAATAAATGAAAACTTAAAAAAAAAAGGTAAAATGATATTGGTGAAATTATTTTCAACTATTCTAAGTGGTCAAACCACTCTTCTCTAGCTCACTTAAAATTCTATAAATTGTACAACTATAGTATGTAAGTGTCAATCTTTGAAGCCTCTCTGCTCCAGAGAGAAATCCAAAGGTTCATGAACTAGATTTGGTGATACCTACATAATTAGTTTATTTACTTAAGAAGTATTTATTCTGGGGGTGCCTAGGTGGCTCAGTCGGTTAAGTGTCTGCCTTCGGCTCAGTTCATGATCCTGGAGTCCTGAGACTGAGCCCTGCATTGGGCTCCCCACTCAGTGGAGAGCTTGCTTCTCCCTCTCCCTGCCGCTCCCCCTGCTGTGCTCTCTCTCTCTGTCAAATAAATAAATAACATCTTAAAAAAAAAGTACTTATTCTGTATCCTTTATACATCAAACACCGAAGTAGTTGCTGACTGTATAATACTTTGTCAATAAGATATAGTTAGAAGCCATTATTTGTCACTATTTATAAGTCTTTGACGTGTAATGGCGTTCTTTGGAAGGCGAGGGCATGGGTAGAAAAGAAGAGATTCAAAAGATTTGATGGTTTGCGAATGACATGGACAAAACATAGAATGGTAAAAATACAGGGGTAGATTCTGCAGGAAAATTAGAGGGGTCTACACTCAAGACTTACAGCTACATTTTCTCAGCAGAGATTTGTCAAGGTAAACGGAAAATGCAGACACAGAAACTCTAAATAGCCCTCAACTTTCCCCAGAGGTTGAAAAGCAAACACGGATTTTACCTGCTCGTGGTGCTCAGAGTCGGCTGCCACTTGCCGTGAGTGGAATGAAGAGGAGAGATTCCGAAGGGGCAGGCAGAAGGCCCATGCTGGCTCCAAATGGATAGCACTCGGCCCACCGAGTAGGGAAGAGAACAGAAGACCTTGTCTGCTATGGAGGCTGGAGATCTTAACCCTTTTAAGCCCTGTGTAAACTGGGTCATGAAGAGCCTCTGCATGGTAGGCATGTGACTAGAGAAGCTCCGTTTTTTTGTCCAGATTCGGTAACATCCAGGAGAACAAAGTGCTAGAAGTGTGTGAAGGCCAAGAACAGAGCAGCCTGCTCTGGTCTGGACTATGGCAGTGCCTCCATAGTCTTGGAGAGGACCTGGAGACTGTGAAGGAGCCTGGGCACATGCCTGACCATGGAGGCCAGTGTCTTCCCTGAATGTGGCCATCCCAGGACAACTGTGGGACAAGAAGAAAGAAAAGGTCCACTTGGGAGGCTGAGACAGGCACCTGGGGGCCTCTCCTAAGGTGAGCCTGGCTGGAGCACAGTGCTCAGGAAAAGTCCTTGGGGACTCGGTCATGCACTCAGAGCCCGATTTCATGTGAAAAGATACCGGGAAAATTTCGGAACCAAACAGCAGTGATGGCACCTTGTTGCTCAAATCTATGAAGCTCATTTTGATGGCTTCTAGCGAATAAAGTGCCAAGGGCTTACTGTTGGGTCTCTTATCCCATCCACTAGCTGCCAAATATGGATTTAGCTGCATTGTATTGTATGAAAAGCCATCCAGAAGCCTTTTGTATCTGAGCCGCTTGTAGCTTTTAGCCACTGGAAGAAGTTCCGAGGAACAACGCCGGTATCTTAGTTTCTGGGTCTTTGTGGCTGGGACCAGTTTGGAGGCGAGAATGGACAGCTTGCTGAGTAAGGCTGATTCTTTGGTAGGCTTCCTAACATTCAGGCTCCTCAAGGGATGGCACGGAGTCACCTTCTGCTTTGGTATGTGGCTCATTAAGCTCCTGGCTGGTTCTGTTCCGGGTTCCGATTGTGCGGGTGCAGGCACAGCACACGAACTGAGAAATCGGTGTGCTTTTGTGGGGATGGTTTCAGAGGAACTCTTTAAAAAGGCAGAACTTCTGATTTTACTTATTTTTTTCCCCATCTTGAGTTGCTCCTGACAGGAAACTTTCTTACATGTTCGATGGGGCTGCTTCTTTAAGGGAAGCACTCTTTTCTGGTGTGAAGTGTTCCCAAAGGCACCGTGTATTTCACCACACCCAGCAGAGTTGGGGTCTTGTGCTTTCTGAGGGGCAACACGAAGGCAAGGGCCTGTGTACGACTCCATGGCCCTTTTTAATGGATCCTCCAACTTTCGGAACTGTGCAGCACCGCCGCCCGTGGCCAGCTGTGCCAGGGTGATTTTCTTCATCATGGTGGACTCACCTTTGCAATACTTGGCTTGGTTCTTATCTTTCAGCTCATCTGGTAAAATGTCAGATGATGTACATTGTTCCAATATCGTGTATGCTTCTTTTTGATGGATATATTCCTCTTCATTCTGCAACATGTAGTCCAAAGCCCTCTGCCTTTGTTGCTCTTCAAGATCAGCAAGCATCCTCTGGGATTTAGAATGGGACTGAAAAATCTCTCTTCCTTTATCACCATGACCAGCCTCTCTGGTAATCATCTCCTCAGACTCTTCCCTGACAGTTACGTGACCCATGGGTCCCCTCTGATGTTCTTCAGTTTTTTCTCCTCTCAACTTAGTTTCTGTTTCCATTGTCAAAGGCAAATTTTGCATACCAATGTCTATTCTGACTCCTTTACCAGAATTACTCCCATCCCCTGGTTCTCCTTCCTTCTTCTCAAGCAGGACTGTGTGGTGCTCCACGTTTTCACAAAGCATTTCACCATCTTTCGGTTTAAAAAGATTTTTCAGGTCAGTTTCTTCACTATTAACATTACTTTCTGAATTTTTGTGAGAAGACAGATACGAAGGCATTATCTCAATGGATTTCAGGCTCCCTACAGGAACAGGGTTCTCATTTGGGCATCCAGAAGACAGCAACTCTTTTGAGGAACTTCCAAAGGTATTGTCCTTGTCAAACTCAGAAATTATTTCCAGTCTTGATCCTTCGATCATTCCTTTTGTTTCTCTAAGGGATGCTTCTTTAACTAGCTGTTCATGATGACTATAATCTAAGGACACATTTACTCTACCCAATGTTCTTATATTTGGTTCATGATCTGCAATAGACTCTAGCTCATGGGCACAAGAGTCTGTACACATTTCCATTTCACAATCTTTTAATGATCTGCATACTTTCTCTTCACATGATTTTTTAATTTCCAGAGGCTCCCCTGTAGAGGAAGTAGCATCTGGGAAATCTGAGTCCTGGCCAATCATTTTGATAAATGCAGCACTCAGTTCTCTTCTCTGAGAAAGAGTACTCACTGAGGTTTCCTGTAATGTCAGTCCATCTTGCCCTGCACCACCGTCAAGGGTACTAGATGCTCTTAAGTCTAACATGCCTTCTGTAGACTCATTACTGCAGTTCGTGTAGATGATGTCTACCATGCCATCTGTGGACTCCTCACAAACAGAAATATGTTCAGAGTCTCCTTTCAAATCGCCTTTCTTTGAACTACCACTGGACAATGGGTTGTTACTGGCTGAACTAACTAGCAGATCCTTTTGGTTGTGGCTTACCTCTCTGTTAGGTTCTGTGACAGTCTCTCTCTTGTCACCATCTAGTGTCTCCTTAGCTGGTTTATCTTCATTTCTGCCTTCATCTGGTCTATTTTGGTTACTCTGGCAGTCAAGGACTTTATCTGTTTTCTGATCAAGAGTTTCAACTGCTTGGCTTATGCTTTTGAAACTGGAGAGCATAACAGTTAGAGACTGGTCCAACAATTTTTCAGGGCTTGGAATGTTTGCAGATAAGTTTAGTTCTGATGTGACACAGTCAGAGATGTTATACTTGCAAAACACAGTCTCTTTAGGTACATCCTGTTCCTTTCCTTCCAACCATTCCTCACTGGGCTGGGTGTGACTGGTGGTGGGAATGGTCTTGTCTGAAGCTTCACTATTTAATACGCTTCCTGGCATTTCATTTCGCATCTTATCTCCTGGGAGGCTGCCTTTAGTTTCTTCCTCAGCAAGTTCACTTCCCTCTGATGTGTAACTCACTTTATGCGTGCTACTTTCTGTGGAGTCTTCTCTTCCTTGGGAGTGGTGATTGCTGTGCTGAAATGCATCTTCACACTTGGTCAACAAAGAGTTTTCAACTTTTGGGATGATTCTGCTGGACTCAAAAGCAGCATAAGCAGAACACACGCTCTTTTCTTGCGCATTTTTATTTACACAATGACAGCTAGAGAGATCCTGAGATTGAACACTTTGACATTCCATAACAGAGACCTCTTGAGGCAAGCCTGCTGCTTCTTTCTTGCTTGAGAGAAGTCTGGAAGGTAGATCGACTATTCCAGAATCAGCCAGTTCGTTTTTCCTTTCTAGGCTTCCTGGTTTGATGTTTAAGGTGGGGTTGTTTGAAGAGGCACCACAGGATTTGTCACCTGATGGAGCGATGTCTTTCATTTTTGTCTTCATGGGAACAGTTTGGGTATGAGCAATGACATCTGCTCCATCCTCTAATGGAGGGTGATGGCTCTGTTGGGAATCCTCGCTTGTTGCTAAAGGCATCTCTTTGTTAGCTGGCAACTTCGCGTGGTCTTGAGAATTAAGGGGCACTTGATTTAAAACACATTCACTTTCTATTTTGTTTAAAACCAATTCATTGGTACAAGGAAGTTTATTCATCTCACAGGCTATGTTCTGTTCATCTAAATGTGAACTATCATCCTGTGCGGTCTGTATAGCTTGTTCTGACTCAGGTTTGTAATCAAATTCTAGGGATGGTGGTAACTGAGCAATATCTTTCTTGGGTTTTGATATCTCATTCATAAGACTTATCTGGTCCTCACGCTTTAAACTCACAAGGGATTTTCTTTCAATCAGAAATTCATTATAGGATGCTTCACTTAACTGGGTGTCGTCTTCCAGATTTCTCTGGGAGCGGAATGAGTTAGAGTCTTTACTGTAAATCTTTTCAGTTACCATATTGGCCTCTATAGTGGTTGTCTGTTCTGGCTCTTCAATCTGCATTAAGGAGGAAAAACTGCTCTCTTCAGAGTGTCTGCCTGAATGGCTCATATCAGTAGAAGTTTCTCTATGGTCCTCATGGTTTGTCAAGCTACCCTGAATGTCTAAAGTGATTTTCAGATAATTTTTTTTTAACATTACTTCTGTGGCTTCAGTGAAAGAACCAGGCACTGAAGAACTAGGGCTGTCTGTATGGATACTGCCTTGAACACAAGAGTTACCATGGATATTCTCTTTGGGGGCGGCAACAGTCTCTTTTTCACCAGGACAATGACCACTAGCATCCTCTTCTGGTTGCCTGGCATTAACAAGAAAGAGTTCCCCTCTTTCACTCCTGGGGTTCAAAAACTGTTCATTTTCTTTTCTAGTAGCCACGTTCTTGCTTTGACCATCTCCATCAAAACAGGAATTGTCTGTCTTTTCAGCAGATCCCTTTGGCAAGCCATCACCTTCAAAACCACTTGTTTCTAAGGATGGTGTCCTGGATTCTGGACCAGACAAACTTGAGAAATATGAAATGCCAGAGTTTTCTTCTAAGGGTTCTACAACAACTACATTTCTCGTGGCTTTGGGACTGCCATGGGCAGAACTGTGTTTTTCATTATGGTGGCTGAGAATCTGTTGGTGATTGTCATCTGCTTCACAGACAAGGTTTAACTTACACACCTCTTCCTTCCCATTGTTCACTTTGGAAATGGCACTGCTCCCTGGTAACAATGACAACCAAGAAGGACAAGTTTTTAATTCTTCACATTCTTTTTCTTTAGAAGTTGCTTCTGTTAATCCAGGGTCCACAAAGGTTAAAGGCTCTAGGGAAACTAATGTGCTGGTTTCTGAAACCTCACCACTGGTCATGATTTTGTCTATTTCTGGGTATTCGCTGCACCCAGCTGAGAGACCTTTACTCACATTGCCATTCTTGTGTCCTTCATTATAATCCGTCTTAGTCCCATTGACCTTCATACCTTGTACTTCTTCAGTAGATTTTAGCAGAGTTCCAGTTTTAATTTGTACATTTCCTTCAGCACAAGAGAAATAAATCCAAATAAGTATGCAATCATAAAAAAATTAATCATGCAACCAATAGCAACAAAAAAGACCCAACTCAAAAAGCAAATTACAAAGTTAGTGCACTGTACCATTGGTTTTGTTCTTTTATGCAAAATATGACAGAGGGCCAAAAGTGTACTTGGCTAATTTTGAACATCTGCCTTTCTCTAAGTGTTACTTATTTAAATATACTTACTTAGCTGGACAATTGAATATGGAGATATACATGTAATCCAGAGTCTTAAGAAGCTTCCCTTCTAAAACATTAATAAAGCAGACCCACAATACAACAGCTTATATTATTCAATGACCATCTTCTTATTACTTGAATAATATTAAGTTAGTCATAAATAAATTACATAAGTAATTACATAAGTTTTACGTAAAACCCATGTAAAAGATAAATGTTTAAGTTGAATATTAGTTCTGAACTGAATTACTTACAGTAATTGCTTCCCTACAAGACTAGTCATGAGCTGGCATTTATGAAGCTGAGTGACAGATACATGTGGGTTTAGTATACTCTCCACTTTTCAATAAATTAAAATTTTTCTATTATGAAATATTAAAAAACAAAAAACCTTTTTGAGCAGAATGTAAATGCAATTCATAAAGAAGTTTTACTGTTCAGTGTCTCTGAAATTCTAGGTAAAAGATGCAGTATAAAGAAATTCCCCAAACTTGTTAGTCTACAAACAAATTTTTTATCCTTACTTTCTTTTTAGAAAACACAGTTATGCTCATACATGTGCATATGTGTATATGTGTATTTGCATGCACACAATATATAACAAAATACGAGCACTAAACAGATAAAGCTAAATGCAAATCAACCTAAAGATCATTATAATTCTCTATAATTATTCTCTAGAATATAAACTACATGAGAGTAAGGATTATGTTTGTCTCGGTCTCTCCCTTTCCCTATTGCCCAGCATAATACCCAGTACAAAACAGCACTCAATAAATCTGTGGAATTAATAAATGGTTAGGTCAAATCAACAAACACTATCAATACTGTCTTCCTAGAGCTTCCCTATCCATTTATCAACTGGTACTGAGAGCAGCAATTCTGAGAGAAGGAACAGCAACTCTGAAGGCAGGTGGGCTCTGTGATCTTACTTACTTCTCTGAGTTTCAGTTTTCTCCTTTGAAAAAGAGGGTACGAAGTACACTTACCTCAGTGCTACTTTGAGGATTAAATTAAATAATACATGTAAAACACCACCTGGTACAGTGCCTGCCATTTAAAGAAAAAGTGCTTTTCCTTTGTTCTGCTTTCTTTCTTATCTTACTGGACCTGAGAACAGTTAAAATGATAAACTTAATAACTATGCTAGGATAGGACACAGTGTTTAAAAATACCGGGAGTCAACAAATACTAGATTGATAAATGCATACTGGATTCCACAAGCTTGCACAGATTCCAATTACTGACATATTATGGCCTTGAAATCCTAATGCCCCACACAGTATTTATCTTTTTGAAACTAGCTTACTTTCCACATCATAGCAGACAATTCTACCCTATTCATGAATTTCTAACCGCATTTACCCCAAGTGGTTTAGTGTATCTCTTCACTGGATACTATGGCACTAAGCCATTCATGTAAATTCTGGGCCTTTCCACGCTGGTCCAGCACCATCCTAGTTGAATCTTTCATTTTATCTGCTCAGGAAAACTGCAAAACTCTTCACCCATCCCCAAACTACTCACTGTGCAAGGCACTTAAGGCAAGATTCTACCTCAGTGCCCTTACCCGCTAGAAGAACAACTGTTCTCAACTTAGTTGAGAATCTTAGGGAGGAGGCAGGGGAACAGTCATTTCACAGGTAGTGTAACACTGAAGGCTGGGAGGAAAACAGGGGTTGTGTACAGCTTGAAAGCCAAAGGATACTCTACCTACTCTTTTACTTGGTTATAATTAACCACACTGACTTGGAAATCTCAAAGAATTTTAAAGGAGAGTTTGGGCAATTATATTTATTAGAAAGTTTTCTAAAGGCTATGGAATACTGACCCAGTCCTCTTCTGTAATACGGGGAGAAAGATGGTACCCACTTTGCAGGACTTGTAAAGATGAGTTAATACATGTAGAGCTCTTAGACGTGCCAGAGGCCACACTTGGTTAGGGCTAGCCACTCCTTTGGGTTCCCACTCCCTTGCACAGTATTTCTATGAAAATCTCTGTGATATTGTTTCTCAAGTATTTGTTTAATATATCACCTCCATGAGACTGGAGCTATTTGAGGGCAGAAATAGGATCTTAATGATCACTGTGGACTGAGTACCCAACACTGACCTTGGCACATAGCAGGTACATAATAGATGCTGTCTGAATGAAGAATGAGAAGGTTAGGGAAGTTGTTCAAAGTATTAGGTATACTCCATCCAGTAACTCCACTTCTGGGTATACATCTAAAGGAAATGAAATCACTATTCTGAAAAGATATCCGCACCCCCATGTTCATTCCAGCATTACTTATGGTGGGTGAGACATGGAAACAACCCTAAGTATCCACCAGTGAATGAATGGATAAAGAAAATGTGGCATATTAAAAAAAAGTATTTAGGTATACTGGAGGGTAAAATATATTCTGTGAGGTATGAGCCCATTTTTAGAAACAGGCATTTCGTGACCTCAGCTGAAGGCCCCAGATTTGTTGTTTTATAACAACAGTTTAAAAAGTGCTTATGTTTACAGGAACTGACAAACTAATCCTAAAACTCAAATGAAAATGCAAGGGACACGTAACAGCCAAAATGATCTTGAAAAAGAATAAAGATGGTAGCCCCAAACTTCCTGATTTCAAAAGCAAAGTTGCAGTAATGGACACAGTGTAGCACTGGCACAGGATGGATTTTTAATAAAGAGCAAGGATATTAGAACTGAGAATCCAGAAAGAAACTCTAACATTTATGGTCAGTCAACTGATTTTTGACAAAGGGACCAAGAAGAACAGCTTTTCAACAAATGGCACTGGGACAACTGGATATCCACATGCAAATGAATACATTTGGACCCTGTCTCACGTCATACAAAAAAATTAACTCAAAGTAGATCAGAGACCTAAATATAAGAGGTGAAACTATAAAACTCTTAGAAGAAAACACAAGAGTAAATCTGCATGATTTTGGTAATGATTTCTTAGCTAAGATACTGAAACACAGTGATAAAAAGACTGGTAAGTTGGACTTCATCAAAACTAAAATCTTGGGGCATCTGGGTGGCTCAGTCAGTTAAGCGTCCAGCTTTTTTAAGATTTTATTTATTTATTTGAGAGAGAGAGCAAGCATGGGCAGGGGGAGGAACAGAGGGAGAAACAGACTCCCTGCTGAGCAGGGAGCCTGATGCCGGGCTCGGTCCCAGGACCTGGAGACCATGACCTGAACCGAAGGCAGATGCTTAACTGAGCCACCCAGTCTTTAAGTGGAAACAACCCAAATGTCCATCAGATAAATGGATACAATGGAATATTATTCAGCCATAAACATGAAGCACTTATATATGCTAGATCATGGATGAACCTTAAAAATCTTTATGCCAAGTGAAAACAGTCATAAAATACCAGCCCCCATTTATATAAAATGTCCAGAATGGCAAATCTATACAGACAAGAGCAGATTAGTAGCTGGAAGAGGTTGGGGAGAAGGAAGAACAGAATGAACAATGAATGCTAATGGATACAAACAGGTTTCTTTAGGGAGTGATGAAAATTAAATTAGGGTTATGCCTGCGTTCTGTAAGTATAGAAGAAAACCACTGAAAAGTATACTTCAAATGCACAAACTTTATAGCGTGTAAATTATATCTCAATAAAATTGTTTTTTAAAAAGTGCTTACATTCCAATCATAATACAAGTAATACAAGAAAACTTAAAGACTTTTTTGGGGGGCGCCTGGGTGGCTCAGATGGTTAAGCGTCTGCCTTCGGCTCAGGTCATGATCTCAGGTCCTGGGATTGAGTCTCGCATCGGGCTCCCTGCTCCTTGGGAGCCTGTTTCTCCCTCTGCCTTTCTCTCTCGCTCTGTCTCTCATGAATAAAAAAAAAAAAAAAAAAACTTAAAAAAAAAAAAGACTTTTTTTGGTGTTATTTCCATATAACTATAACTGGGGACAGACATGCTGGAGGTTGACAAGGATTCAATAGCATTTCTGTCAAAACCTTTTCCTGGATCAAAAAATTAAGTGGTTAGACTGCGGACACTAAATATGACATCCGTTTTGGCATATTCTACATCCCGTCCTCAGAAAGATGTGCAATGGGTTAGCAATATTGTAATGTCTTCTATAAAAGGAAGCTCTCCTGTGTGGAAGCTCTCCTGTGTGGAGGCTCACAAAGACTACCAAGAGGTAGGAAGACAGCAGACAACCCTACAAGCTATTGTCACCTCCTCAGCTTCTCTGACTACTGAACATCTGGCTTTCCAAATCTGGATACAACTCATGTACTACTGGTCCCAAAGGGTACAATCACTCTGGAAAACTGTTTGGTAGTTTCTTATAAAATAAACACACTTTCCAAATGATCCAGCAGTGTCATGCCTAACTATTCACCTAGGTGAAATGACAACTCATGTTCACACAAAACCTCGTACACAAGCATTCACTGCAGCTTTATTCATAATTGCCCAAACTGGAAACTCAACTTTCCCTCAATGGGAAATAAACAAGCTGTGATACAACCAGACAACAGGATACTCTTCAGCAAGAAGCAGCAATGAAGTACTGATACACACAGCTATATGGATTAATCTTAAATGCACGATGCTAAGTGAAAGAAGCCAGACTCAAAGGCTTCTCCTCTGGGGTGTCTGGGTGGCTCAGTTGTTAAGCGTCTGCCTTCCACCCAGGTCATGATCCCAGTGTCCTGGGACTGAGCCCCGCATCCGGCTCCCTGCTCAGCGGGAAGCCTGCTTCTCCCTCTCCCACTCCCCCTACTTGTGTTCCCTCTCTTGCTGTGTCTCTTTCTGTCAAATAAATAAATAAAATCTTTAAAAAAAAAAAAAAAGGCTTCTCTATGATTACATTTATGGGACATTTTGGAAAACGTAAAACTATAGGGACAGAAAAAAGATCAGTGGCTGCTAATGGCTGAGGCTGGCAAGAGGGATGCACTATAAAAGAAGCCTTGAGAAATCACTGGGGTGATGGAAATGTTCTATATCTTGATTGTGGTGATAACTGAACAAATGTGTTTGTCAAAACTCACAGGGTTGTACACACAAAAAAGGGTGAATTTTAGTGTAGGTTAAGTTACACCTTAATTTTTAAAAAAGATTTTATTTATTTACTTAACAGAGAGAGAGCGAGAGCACAAGCAGGGGGAACAGCAGAGGGAAAGGGAGAAGCAGGCTCCAGAGCCTGATGCGGGGCTTGATCCCAGAACCCTGGGATCATGACCTGAACTGAAGGCAGACACTTAACTGACTGATCCACCCAGGGGTCCCTATACCTTAATTTAAAGAAAGTAAAAAAAAAATTCAGTACCCAAAATGTCCACACTTCTTTCATGCTGTCTATTAAATGGGTGTGGTACTGGCTGATTTTTCAACTTTTCTCCCCCTAAAATGCAAATTATAGGAGGACAATGACATAAATAAGGAATATAAACAGGAAATATTCTTTCCCAATTATATGTATTAAAAAGAATCAATAAACTCCAAGAATCTAGACTCATGTAAAGCATAAGGAGTTTGTCGATGGGGTTTCTTCCATCTACTTGTAATACTTATTTGTATGACAGACATAGAGGGCTTTAAAAGATTGTTTCAACTCTAATTCTTCTAAATAATTCAAACTATCTAGTTCCAAAAATTATATAAGGTATCTTTTCTCTCCTTGACTGCTTTCACCTCTGCATCAAAATGTATTCCCTCCAATTCTCTTCCAATTTCTTGTGACTCTCCTACTTCAGAGAATTCCCAAATAAGCCTTCGTGGAGATTGCTACTGTGAGAATTAAGTCACAACCTTCCCAAACCAAGCCAGTTACAGGGAACGCAGGAAAAAACAAAAAACAAAAAACCACAACAGAAACAAACAAAAAAACTTGATAATGTCAATTCTGTAAAATATTAAACAGAATTATGGTGAAAAAGCCACATTAGAAAAGCCACACTAGTAGAAGAGGAGAGGCAGCAGAGTGTCTGACAGGAGGACACCCTCCCTTTGTGAAATGGCCCCTCATCCAACACCCATTACAGCTCCCCCATGCCCACTTCTCATGGGCCTGCCCTACAGCAATCAAGAAATAAGGAATGATCTGCAAAATAGCATCCTACCAACTAAAGATGACTTTTGGTTAACACAAATGTCCTTTTAAAGCATTAAGCTTCTTCTAATTTCACCTAACTGAGCTACAGCAGACATGACTGTAAAGAACCTAAAAATTCTGAATATCACACTAACTTGGAAGTACTGTGAACAGGACATTTATTTAGAGAAGGAAGAACAATACACCAAGGGGAGAGTGTGGCAGCCTTAGGTTCACTTGCTGAACACCTCAGTGCAGGGGACCCAAATTCATTCCTCAGCAAATTTATAAATTATCACACAGTGCTGACCTTTGAGGTGCCCCCATTCAGAATAAGCAAAATGGAATATAAATAAAACTCTATAAGCGATTTGCACAGCATTCAACAGAGCAGAGATTTAAAACAAAAGTAGGAAGAGTATACTAGTTTTTATGAGGGAAATCTACATCTAAAATGTGTGGGACCAGGATCTGGAGCAGAGTGAAAATTCTGCAGCTGGGGCTCCCAGAGGGAGTGTACAACCAAGTTTCCAAGAAACATCATTTACTTCTCAATTCTGTAGGAAATGACAGGTTGCCAGATGCTTTACCTTAACCCCGACAAAGCGAGCTGAGATGCTGGCCACATTACAGGACAGCATGTGTATCTGTTTAACTGAAATCGGCAGCAGCTTGTGTGTTCATGTCTTTCACAGACCTGCCTTCATAGAACCTTCCTTTCTGCTTGCTATGATTGCTTGGGCGGAGGCTGTTCCCTCATGTGTAACAAAGGGACACCTTTGAAGGCTCTCTGGGGACTGAATGGAAGAACGTATCACAGTCAGGCACTAGGTCACTGCTGCTTAAAACTCTAGTAAAGCTGCTGTTTTCAAGTTCCTCCATCTAAAACTGAGAACCTTGCACACAGCTTTGGAGAAAGAAAAATAATTCATTTTCCCAATTTAAGTCATTAAAGAATGGTATTAGATCAGGAAGAAAAATGCCACAAAGTAGCTTATCTGAAGAACTCATCTTATCCATGTCCAATGTAGACCAGATTTTTAGGTGGACAGTAACCAGGTAAGTCTGAGAAGGCAGATTTCCTCATAGAAAATAACTGATTCTCCTGTTTTTGTTTTTATTTTTTTTAAAGATTTTATTTTTTTTTAAGTAATCTCTACACCCAACGTGGGGCTCGAATCTGCAACCCCAAGATCAAGAGTTACATACTCTACTGACCGAGTCAGCCAGGCACCCTTTTTAAAAAAAAAAAATTTTTTTTCTTTATTAAGTAATCTCTATGCCCAACATGGGGCTCAAATTCATGACTCCGAGATCAAGAGTTGCATGCTCTACCAACTGAGCCAGTCAGGCACCCCCTAATTCTCCTGTTTAAAGGTCAGTTTAGTTATTAAATGAAAGTGTAGTTCAACAAATAGACACTAAACTTGTGCTAAGATGTGGGTGAAAATATACCAAAAATATACCAAAGACTCGGGCGCCTGGGTGGCTCAGTCGTTAAGCGTCTGCCTTTGGCCCAGGTCATGATCCCAGGGTCCTGGGATCAAGCCCCGCATCGGGCTCCCTGCTCTGCAGGAAGCCTGCTTCTCCCTCTCCCACTCCCCCTGCTTGTGTTCCCTCTCTTGCTGTGTCTCTCTCTGTCAAACAAATAAAATCTTAAAAAAAAAATACATATATATATACCAAAGACTCAATATAGCAATACTGGAGCCCTGCTGAAAAGATATTTGGGGCAGGGGTGGGGGGCTAAAATGGTCCCAAGTAAGGCCCTAGGAACTGGGTGAGACATGTACAAAAGGACATTTCTCATCCTCAGAGTTTTAATCTATACTGGACAGCAAAGCCTTTGAGCCACAGAAGAAATCTCCAGCAGCAGGAAGCAGGGTGATAAAGTGGGACAAGTACCCTTTCTCATAAGGACAATTTGTGCTTCCTTTTCTGTCTGGGCTGCCAAGAAGCAGAGAGTCAAATCTGATGTTTTATCACGAAATGTTCATATAATTAAACATACTTGCTGTATTTTCCTTTTTTTGTGTTTTGATTATATTAATTGCATAATATATAGACACAGTCCTTTCTACAGTTACCTAAGATTATTTTCAGCCTGGGGAGAAAATCTTGGCTCAGCACTCTTTCTTTGGGTCTCAGCTTCCTCCTCAATCAATCAATCAATCAATCTAAAGGTGATATCTCAGATGCCTATATCCACTCATTGTTTTGAGAAGCAAAACGAAGTAATGGAAATGAAACTGCTTTGACAGGTGACCTGGAGTGAACGCTTTCTCCCATCCCTGTCCAGGGGAACAGGAACAGGATGCACTCCACAGTGTTCAACTGGACTGGGTCAATTCCTCCCCATTCATGTTAACCTTTCCAAATAAGCAGTTTAGTTTTATAAAATCAAATAATTCACATCGATAGGGATTCATTATATAAAAGGGGAGGCTTTATATTCATTCATTACATAAAACTGGGTGGCTCAGTCGGTTAAGTGTCTGCCTTCAGTTCAGGTCATGATCCCAGGGTCCTGGGATCCAGCCCTGCATCAGGCTCCCTGCTCAGCGGATAGTCTGCTTCTCTGTCTGTTCCTCCCCCTCCCCATGTTTGCTTGCGTGCCCTCTCTCCTTCTCAAATAAAATCTTAAAAAAATAAAATAAAATAAAATAAAATAAATTAAAACAAAAGGGGCGCCTGGATGGTTCAGTTGTTGAGCGTCTGCCTTCGGCTCAGGTCATGATCCCAGGGTCCTGGGATCGAGCCCTGCATTGGGCTCCCTGCTCCATGGGAAGCCTGCTTCTCCCTCTCCCACTCCCCTTGCTTATGTTCCTGTCTCTCTCTGTCAAATAAATAAATTAAAAAAATTAAAACGAAAAACAAGAAAACCTAAGGCACTGCTCAATAATATTAGGTGTCTTCAAGTATGTCAATGGGCAAGATCAAGAATTTCTACAGTTAAGTCCATCTTGCAAGGCAGGGACCTGCATTCCTGATGCAAAAAAGAAACTGTGAACTAAAACAGTGTGTAATAAGTAGAAAAAGGAAAAGACTAGAGAAAAATAAATACCTTTGCTCCTCAGACAGTCTTCAGGGAAGCCCGTGCATAAACGTTCTTTGCTTGACTGCATCAGGAGGTCTTCCTGCGGGAAGAAAATCCAGTGGTCAGGGAGGATTCAGAGATGCCCGAACTCATGAATGCAAATTACCGTCTGAGAAACCTCTTTAGTAGGATTCCTGGAAATTTGATAGCAGTCACAAAGATTGGCAACTGAAGGAAGCCTCAAATTTAAAGAAATAAAATCAATAAAAATTACCACTTCCCTAGAATTTGAGCTTGAAAAGCCAAGTTTCCGGAGGTCTGGACAATAACAGAGGCTTAAAATGCTGACCCTATTAAATACCTTCTGAATCAAGAAACACATTGCTGCAACGTAACCTTAATTTCATCTGAAAGGAAAATATCACCAAACTGGAAGTATCTCAATCCTCAACCACTCTAGAGATCATGTATGCATTTTCTTCCCAAACTTCTTAGAAGGGCTATTTTTTCTTTTCATCTCCCTTCACTGGAGGGAGAGCATGCAAAGGAGAACACCATCAATGACAACCAGTTTTATCCTACAGAAGAAATTCAGAAAAATGGGAGGGGTCAGTGGCAGAATGTACACGTCATGGCAGCAAATGGCTTCAAGCCCTAGGAGGGAAGGTTTACTAGCTAGGAGACACTGATAGAACTAAGATCTCTATGCTAAGCTCTCCTTCTCAGTCACCTCTTTCCCCCTGCCCTAAGATTTAAGGTTTTTTTCACACTGATTTAATTGGTAAGTGCAAGATACTGACATGGTACACATCTAAATCTACAGATAGTAGTATCATTACTGTATCTTTAGATAATTTTTATAGCACTTCAAACAAACTCAAAGCTAGCAAAAGCCATTTGGACCCTAGGCAAAGTTCTGTGGTGGAAACAGAACCCAGAATGGGGAGGGAAGATAAAAGCAGTGGCAAGAAAAGATGGATACAGGCAGAAATAAAACATTATCATTTGAGGGGCGCCTAAGTGGCTCAGTTGGTTAAGCGGCTGCCTTCAGCTCAGGTCATGATCCCAGCCAGGGTCCTGGGATCAAGCCCCGCATCGGGCTCCCTGCTCAGCAGAGAGCCTGCTTCTCCCTCTCCCTCTGTCCGCTGCTCTGCCTACTTGTGCTCTCTCTCTATCTCTGTTAAATAAATAAATAAAAATCTTTAAAAACAAAACAAAACAAAAAAACATTATCATTTGAACTGAGAGCATGGACTGTCACATGTGAAGCAGGACTATTTTTTCATTCCCTTAGTGTGGAATACTTTTGCAAAGCATGAACTTAAAAACAAGTATCTCCCAGATAATTTATGGTAACACCACCATGTTTGACAAAGAAGTATGAGTTCTAGCATGATGCCAGACCAAACTTATTTGTAAAGGAGGAGAAGAGAAAGCTCTTACTTACCATAAAAGGAATGATAGAATTAGAAAATCACCACTGGGTGACCATCACAGTAATAATGATCTCAACCAACAATCATCAATGGATGTTAAAACTAGTGGCTAAAAGTTTGAATGAGAAACAGAAATATTTACATAGTCTCAAAAGTATCTCTCCAGGAGATACTTAATAATTCCATAAGGGAGAATAGTAACTTCGCAGTGGAGAAAGCTGGCAGACCCCACCTGAACCAAGTATGGACTTCACCTCCCAGAAATGAAGCACCCCAAAGCCATGTGCCTCCTGAGAGGATAGACCAAGAAGAACCATCATCACTTCTGTGGGATTCCTGCTGCCAAAATGCATAACCAGAATCTAATCATGAGAAAACACCAGACAAGTCCAAACTGAGGGAAATTCTACAAAATACATGGCCTGTATTCTTCAAAAGTGTCGAGGTCATGAGCTGAGGAACTGTTACATATTAAAGGAGATTAAAGAGACATGCCAATTGAATGCCACAAGTGATCCTAGATTTTTCCTAGACCAAAAAAACTATTTTCTTTTCTTTTGCTGCAAAAGACATCAGTATAACAATTGGCCAAATTTGAATATGGTCTGTGGATTAAATAAAAATACTTGGATCAGTGTTAATTGCTTGATTTTGATCAACTTACTGTGGTCATGTATCAGAATGTCTTTGTTTGCTAGGAAATATACACTGAAATATTTAGGCAACATGTCTGCAACTATACTCTCAAATTATTCAGGAAAAAAAAGCAAATGTGGTAAAATGTTAGCATGTGAGGAATTTGCATGAAAGGTATATGGGAATTCTTTGTACTATTTGTGCAACTTTTCTGTAAGTCTCAAATTATTTCAAAATAAGACGTTATGGAAACATCTTTATTTGTAGTTACATTTGATTCTTTCTCCAAAATGATACTTCTCTTGATGTTCCAGTTCTCAGGCTGAATGGGGTGTGACATTAGATGCTAGTTAGAATTATTTTTTCAGGTTAATACTCTATGGGAAAGGCAGAGTGCTGGAGTAAAAGATTATGGGATGAGGAGTCAGACAGGGCTCTGCTCCAACCTCAGGACTCCTATCTACTAGCTATATAGCACTAAGAACAAGCTTAAGTTGGCTATAGGAATAATGGGGACCACAGTAACACCTAGCAAGATACCCTATCAGCACTGGGTGTTCCATAAACAGAAGCTCTCATCATCCATTAGACCTTAGACACTTGTTATCCCTTTCTGTGAGAAAAGCTAAATAGAACTATCACCAATAGATCCTAGGATGTCATCTGGAGTGACTAAGCTTTTTTGGGCCTGCAAAGTAAGAGCTGAGCTCAGGTCAGCAACATACAAGTTCTATATAGTTCCTTCAGAATGAATTGTGATGAGCTTGTACAACCAACCATACTGACTCCTGCCCCTAGAGGGGCTGCTGGAATTTTAGTTTTGCTCCACCTGCTGCTCTAAGGTTCTTAGCTGGAGGACTCAAAATACCCTGGTGGAGTGCCAAGCCAACTGCTTCGGCCATGTCCCCTTCTTCTTGGTTAGTCACGATTTGTAATAGGGAAGAAGAGAAGCAGAAGCTAGGAGTAAGTGATTCCCCTCTCCCTCTGCCTTGCTGACTTCTCTTAAAAGGTTCTGAGTTAAGAACCCTCAGACGGCTGAAAGCCCTATAAAGTTCAAAGTCTTAAATATGATCAGAAATTGACTGGGTTGAAAAGAAAACAGACTGTCAGGCTGAGGTCAGATGCGAGGACCCCCCTGACCTGGCAACTACCACCACCACAGTGGTGGGTAATCTACATATCAGGTGGGAACTCTACCAAGTGTGGGCCTCAAGTGTGGATAAGAGAACAGAACAGCCCACCTACAAGCAGTGGACATGCAGCGTAATGATCCTGTCATTCCTCAAACCCCCTCAAGGTCAACTAATCATATAATAAACACTTGCAGAAATTTATCAATTTCCTTTTCTTGTAATATTTTATAGGCTAAATGTTCTAACTTTCAGGATTTTTAGAGGTAGAGTCCTAAACATTTTCTCTTCCACCTAGATTCTGCAAAATCTGTTTTGAATGAATCAACTTCCAAGATCTTCTTTCACCATCAAATGAGGTAACTGCTATAGTTTATAATACTCTATTAGCTGTATAAAGTAAGAAATGCCACAAAACAGTACAAATTCATTTTCAAATCAACAGCAAACAGATTCTCTGCCTTGCACATCCAATATACTATCCTGCCAAGTGCTTAGAATCAAAATTAACTTTTGATACTTCAAAGTGGTGGCAGATTTTAGAAAGGTCTTGAAAAACCATTCTTACTGTTCATCTGTAATCTATTTCCCATTAAAAGTTGTATGTCCTAGAAAAGATACAATTCTCTGATTCATTTCTGTGAGACTAGTTTAGAGTAGGAGAACAACACAAATATCTAAAGGAAGGAAATGAATATACATCAGGCTCTTCAGCTTTTTACGCAGGGTAAGTTACAAGCTCCTCAAGGGCCTGATTTATCTCTGAGCTGTGAGTCCTGCTTGTAAGCAGACTCCACTGAACTCCTCCAAAACTTGAGCTTCCTGAGCTGGAGGCAGAAACAGATGAGTAAGAAGGGCAGTGACTGCCCCACCTTCAGATGGGACTGTCTATACACTGAAGTGTGCAATGATGGGGCAACAATATGCAGCAAATGAGATTCTTCCTACTATGTGGCATTTGTAGAAATAGCCATGATTATGTTCATAGTGAAGAATACTCTGAAAATAAAAGAAACTTTTGTATCTCTAAATGGATCTTTCAGTTTCCTACCCCTTGCATATTTAGAAAGGAACAGCTGTAGAACAGTAACTTTAAATCATCGTTACAGAGCTTAAAAAGGAATTTTCCTTCACGTATTTCAATTCAGGGAAACAACTGGTGACTTTAAGTAAAGCACTGATCACCTTAGCTGGGAAAGGCATTTGATAATAACCCCCCCTCCCCAAAATGATTATCTGAGAACTGCTATAATAATTAGGAGAAAGTTCTTAGTCTCAGCAATACACCACTGGTGCTTTGGACAATTTTCTGTCACTTTTAACAACATGAGATGTTACAGGGCAAACCATCACTGTGTGGACAACAGTGCCCTGGCAGACCTGGAGAACAGGTTATGGCCACCGGTTTTACTACTAACAGCATGAAGTTCAGACTTTTTCCACCTTTAAATCACCGAATGTGAATTTTTTCCACCAAGATATCCTTTTAGGCAAATAGCAAGCGCCTATATTCTACCACAAATTTCGTGTAGGATCACAGAGTCTTAAGGTAAGAAGTAAATAAGCTTAATGGGCATTTAGTTCAATGGGCTTTCATTTAAGTGAAGCCATACAAATTGCACAAGATTGGGTCTGATGAACACGCCATTAAAAAACAAGTTTCTCCAAAAGCATAACATGGTTCGAGTGATCAACAGCCACTGTGCGTCCTCACTTGATGTCCCCTGTCCAGACAGCTTCAAATATCTGTCAAAAATGTATACTGACTCTTCATGTGTGCAGCTAACAAATAACAGACAATCAGAACTTTTTCTGTGTCTGTGTTGAGCACAAATAAAGTATCATATCCTGGAACCAAAGCTTTTATAACACATTCAACGCAGGCACATCAACCACTA